TGGATTGGGATATATTATATATTTTACATTTAAGTGTCTGATTTTGAAACTGTTATTTAACTTCAATATTATTTAAGTTATTATTTAACTTCAAGAATTTAAAGTTAAGTGTCTGATTTAGAAACTTAAATTGTCGGTAAATTAAATTATTATCATGTTTTAAGATGGCTTCTCAAACCATGGAGATTGCCTATTAGTATTTAAAATTCTGAATATTACGCCAGAAGTTATTGAGATTGATACCATACTATAATTAGGGGTCTGTCCAGACATTTTGTGAAAGGTCCGTTTTTCGTCAACCGTTCGTCAAAGGTCCGTTTTTCGTTTACTCACATTCTTTCAACCAGGGTCCGCTTTTATGAATTTGTGCAAATAGGGTCCGTTATAGCAAAAAAAAAAATTTTTCAAGGAGTTTTCAAATTGTAAAGACATACAAGATTATGCTAAACACTGTAAAATTATAATTAAAAAACTTAAATTTTAAAAAATAAACAACAATTGCTGCTTTTAAATTAGAGATGCAGCATACAAATATTAGGTATTTAGCCTATACTGCTGAACGCAGAATATTAATTTTGGACGAATAATGGAAGAATCGTCTGCCGAAGACAAAACTTAATTCGTTTACATCCATCTTTCTTGTTTTCTGCCCTGGAAAGGGTTTATTCAATTAACAAAATAATAATGAAGATAAACAAATTTGTGAAGGGTCCGATTAAAAGAAAAATCATTTTGTGAAGGGTCCGTTTTTAAGTTAAAATATTTTGTGAAGGGTCCGTTTTTATGAAAAGATATTTTGTGAAGGGTCCGTTAACGGACCCAAATTTCTTTTAAACAGACCCCTGATAATTATATACCATATACTGATATAACATAATTATATAGTAATATTCATTTAATCATTGCAATTAAATATATATTAATGTAAAATTTTATGGTAAAATGAATTTTACTATAAAAAGTACTTGCACCATGAATTTTGGGTATTTTTTACCGTATTTCATCTGGGAATATAGCTTTTGGTTGTTATTTACAGTGCACACATTATGTCTTTTTTTTGTTTCAGTATTTTGTTCAATTTACATTCGTTTAATCAATTTATTATTAAAACCATTATATAACTTATTCATGTTTTCAGAAATTTATTTGTTATGTAGTAATCTTGTTATCATATAAATATATCAGAATATAACAGTAAATGACGTTTAAAAATTTTTTAACAACTCCAAAAACGCAAGATAAAATATTTTGAAACAGCTGCAAAAAAGGCAAATAAATTGAGAAAAAAAAATCGAAAATTGGGAAGCAAGATTTTGGTGTTTGTTTAAATATTAAAATATTATATTAAAATATTATAATAAATTTGTATTGCTGAAATGATCTTCATTGTGCATTTAAAAACATCAATTTAGCTCATTTACATATACTTTAATTATTATAACATATTAATTGCAGGGTTAAAAAAAAACTTTTATTTTTCACAAAAACGTTTAGAAAAATGATTAGATTGTATAAAAAAGCTGCTTGAATCAAAATTAATACTATTTGCTAAGAAAAAGACTTAGACTGAACATCCTTAGCATAGAAAAGATCAGTACTACGTGTTTTAAAGTCTAATAGACAAATATATATTTTTTTAATTAATTAACCTAAACTTAATATTATAAAAAAAATGAATTTTCAAATTGCATTTAAAAATTGCATATTACCTTTACCCATAGAATAGATAACACATTGATAATACATAACAATTACTATAATTTAAATATAATGTTCGTATTAAGTACTTAATAAAAAATAATCAATAAATAAAAATATTTTTTAATGAGTAACAATAATATGTAATGTCATAATTGGAAAAAAAAATATTATAAGAATTTTGAATTTCCTTAAAAAATAATTTATTTTTGAAATTCTATACCTAAACTAATAATTGTAAAGGTAAGTCTAACTGTAAGAATAGAACGAAGTAAATGTTTTATTTTAGACTCATATTTTTATTAAAAAATGAACTAAAAATTGTTATGCTTAATATTAAAATAAAAGTAAAATATTATTTATGCTATGTTTTAAATACGGAGAAAAAAATTCTGGTAAAATTACCACACCGCATGGTAATGACATTTCTGTTAAAAAAAACACATAATTTTGATTAATAAAACCAAAATATATGGTATTTAAATCATTCATTTGGTAATTTTTCCGTTGATATAGTGACAATTAACCGGAAATTCTGGTTTTTAAAATTATTATCTTATTACTACTGAAAAGAAAATTTAACCGATTAAGTAATTTTTATGCCATGCTCTAAGGTATTATGGTAAAATTATCAAATTTTACCACATTTATCAAATTTTATTACGCGTTATACAACCGTATTTCATTGGTGATTTTTCCAAAACCATTACAAAAGCGCTTCGTTAAAAATTACTAAGTTTTTTTTGAGTTCCCATAAAACCAGAAACACGGTAAATTTTACCATATTCTGGTAGTTCTGACCATACTGCGTTTTAGTGTGAATTACGCTGCGTTGCCCTTTTAGAATATAATAAACTTAACAATGATTTAAGATACAAAGACAGTTAACAAAAACTAAAAGAAATCCATAAACAGTTTTCTTTAGGTATATACAAAAAAGTTAAAAATATTAATACGGTTTATTTTAAATTGATCGTAAGAATATGACAAAGAATTAACGCGATATTAAAAATTTTGTTTTATGAATACAAAATCTGAAAATTTTTCCAATAATTATTTAACACACGAAACCAAGAAAATATATAAATAAAGAAACATGAAGAAAAACTAGTACTAAGCTGAAAANATTATGCTGCGTTGCCCTTTTAGAATATAATAAACTTAACAATGATTTAAGATACAAAGACAGTTAAAAAAAATTGAATGTTTAAGAACAAACTAAATAAAAACGAAAAGAAATCCATAAACACCTTTCTTTAGGTATATACAAAAAAGTTAAAAATATTTATACGTTTTATTTTAAATTGATTGTAAGAATATGACAAAGAATTAAGGCGATTTTAAAAATTTCGTTTTATGAATACAAAATCTGAAAATTTTTCCAATAATTATTTAACACACGAAACAAAGAAAATATATAAATAAAGAAACATGAAGAAAAACTAGTACTAAGCTGAAAATTGTTTTTCCTGCAGTGTGATACGGATTGCAGGTAAACACTTTTAACTTATTACTAAGTGATTGTTAAGAAGCGAAATTTTTAACAAAATTTCGAATTCGTAAATAATATTTGCACTCAAAAGTTTTTTCGTTCATAAAAGTATATTTAAAATTCATCAAAAATGTAAGACAAACGTGCGATTATACTTTTTTTTAAAAATAAATAAATAAATTGTTTTATGTTGCGGGAAATATTATTTCGTCCACGAATTGTTTCCAGAGCAAACATTCGAAACAAAGAAATTGTACGCGTAAAAAAGCGCGAAAAATAACTAGTACGAAGTCCGAAAAGCAAAAATTATAGACTAAATAAATTTAGAAATATATAAAAATGACGAGCAATAATTGTAAGAAAAAACTGTTTTATGGTGTAAAATCTAATATTAAACCTTTAAATAGTTTTCTGCGCAAAAAATCTAGACTAAAAAAATGTAGAAATATATAAACGTGGAGAAAAATAATCGTTTAAAAAATTGTTTTATGATGCAAAAACTAATATTATACTCTCGAACAAGCTTTTAGCGCAGAAAAATCTAGACGAAGAAAATATATGTAGAAATATATAAGCGTGAAAGATATCTAGCACTTGTTTTTTCTGCGTATTGATTTAGAGTACAGGTAAATGACATTTTTCATACACTAAGTTAATAACAAAAAATTTAAAACAATTTAAAAAAAATCCAATTGTGCAAATAACATTTGAATTTTGATTATTTTGTTACCAACAATGAATTTTTTTAACGAAATTAATTAAATACAGTAGACAAACGAGTCCATGCTATATATATAAAATTTAATAATGCAAAAACTAATATTATCTTCTTGGATTATTTTCAGTGCAAAAAGTTTGGACTAGGTTAGCATAGAGATCTAGAAACGAAAAGAATGTCCAGTACTAAACCGTAAAATTGTTTTTCCTGCATATTGATTCAGATTGCAGGTAAGTGACATTTTGCATTTGCGTGTTTACATTTTCCCGCAATGCAACTTCATAAGTGCATTTTTTTAAAAAAAATTTTCGATGGAAAACTTGAATGAATTTTAAAATATCTTTGAGAAAAAATGCATTGTTACGTAAATAAACTGAAACACGATTAATTTTTTAAATAAAAATCGTAACAAAAACAATGCTTCTTTTCTTACACCTAATGAAAAATATATCTTAAACTTCCTTAAAAAACTATAATAATGCATAAAATACCTCATTTTTCTTTTGAGGAAAATTAATATTATTATAAAAAAGACTCAATATTGCATTTTAAAAGATAAACAAATGATATAGTAGGGAGGAGAGGGGGCAGTTGTCCCGGGATTTATTTTTACGAAAAAGATGGTAAATGGGTAAATTAATACTCAGATCTTAAATGAAAGGAACATTGATAATTAAAACTTTATGGTGTTTCTATCTTTGAAAATTAATAATCATTGTGCGTATTATTTATTATTTTCTTACATATTAAGTTATTAATAAATTAATACTAATATTTATTTACGAATTATTGCAGTAAAGTGCAATGATAAAGTGAAAAAGCGATATTTTTTAGTGCAAATAACGAAACAAAGTTCAAATAATTTTCATGCACAAAAAATTTAATAGCGTTTTTAGGATGATAAACAATCTTGGTGCAGCTAAAAAAAAAAAGAAGAAAAAAAAGCTCTAAATACATTTTGTTATTTCCATTGCAATTATTAATTTTGTAAAGATCGCTAACTTACTAGAGATAAATTTATGCAATACAGACTAACACAATAAAAATTAAATGAAAGAAAAAAAATTTTCAGAAACAAAAACAATGGTGTACCTTTAAATTTTCAGTATCGAAGAAAATATATCCAGCAAATGATTCACTTGAGAATATCATCTAGAGCACACATTTGCGAATTCCAGCGACAAAAAAGAAAACATATCACAAAACCAAAACTAACCCTTTTAAATCGCGGATTAAAAACACACTCACTGTCGCATATTCCCCCATTTCATCCGCGAAATACTCTGGGTGGAATCCATAGGATGAATGGGTTACGGGTTGGAAAATGAATTGACATTCGATGCCACGAAGCAAGCAGGTGGTTTCGCACATGCGCGTTAGTTGCGAAGAACTACCTGTACCTGAAAAATGGCGGTGCCCGATCTAGGTTCTTAGAACGGCTCAACTATCTGACCTGCTAAGCATGGCATGACTACCACTCTTAAAAAAAAAATAATACAATCAACATTGAAGGAGGGGAGGAAAAGGGGTTTGCGCTGTCAAACTTTTAAAAATTGCATTTATTACTTAAGTTAGCGGTTTCTATATCTTTTGTTTTGATAATGATAGTTAAAATTTTAAAATGTATTTGTGTATTAGGAAATTAAAGAAGTAATTTCTATTAATTAATTTATTGAAACTTTAATGTGTAAAGTTTCAGTAATAATCGCAATTTTTTTTATCATTTACTGCGTTTTTTTTATCTTTTCTACAACGCTATTTTTGCTAATAACTGCAAATAAATTAATTAATTTGGTTCTTAAAATGATAAAACAGTTTTTTTATTATTTTAGTTTAATTGAATTTACTATGAAAGCTATTATTTTAAAGAAATGTTGAAAATTGTATTTATTTAATTAATTGATAATTTAAATTTTAAAATATAACTGTTTATGTGGTATTTAATGATATTTCTATTTATTAATTTATTGAAATTTTAATACAATTTCAATAGTAAACTAGAAATGTTTTTTATATAAGGTTATGAATTTATTGAAACTTTAATGTGTAAAGTTTTAGAAATAAATGCAATTTTTTTTTATCATTTACTGCGTTTTTTTTTTCTCGTTTTTTTTTCTTTTTCCTTTTCTACAACGCTATTTTTACTAATAACTGCAATAAATTAATTAATTTAACTCTTAAAATGGTAAAACTGTTTTTTTTTTCATTATTTTAGATTAATGAAATTTATTATGAAAGTTATTAATTTAAGGAAATGTTGAAAATTGTATTTATTTAATTAATTGATAATTTAAATTTTAAAATATATCTGTGTATGAGGTATTTAATGGTATTTCTATTTATTAATTTATTGAAATTTTAATTAAATTTCAATAGTAAACTAGAAATGTTTTTTATATAAGGTTATGAATTACTACGTTTTGCTTTCTTTGTTAAAACATTATAAATAAACGTTTAAAAAATTACAAAATTAATTAATTAACTTAACACATAGAAATTTGAAACAGTTTCATTTTTATTTTAGTTTAATTTCAGTGTTTCTAATTTGAATTGAGTATACAGTAGAGCGGTGTACAATTTCTTTCTTTCGAGAAATTTTTAAAATTGCATTCATTTTTTTTAATTTTAATGCTACTAATAATTTAAATTTTAAAAAAGAAATTGTGTAAGGTGTTTATTGTCAATTCAGTTTTATAATTTATTAAAATTTTTATGCTTTCAGTTTCAATTAATAAATGCAAAAAAAAAATTTTTTTAAGAAAGTTATAAACTACTGCATTTTACTCTTTAACTTCATATATAAAATTAAGAAATTTTTACAGGTAGTTTCCATCAAATGAATTTTCAATTTATCTAAGTAACTTGATTTCTTAGACAGTGAAAAGTAAATAAATAACATTACGTATATTTATGCTTACAGAAACGCTGCAGCAACGATCTTATTTTCACTCTATCGAGTGCCGAGTAGGTAATGTGCAGATTATCTAGGTAGTTTTCAAATTCCCTAAGTAATTTGAAAAATGAAAAAAAAAATTTTGGCACTTAACTGATCAACTTAGTTAATCTGTTCACTAGCTAAATATTCTGTTGAATCACCGATTGCTACACTTTATCAGTAACACGTGTTACTACACTTGCTTAAGTGCTTATAGTATTTTAAGCTATATATCAGAACTAGATAATGCATTGAGCTGCATTAGTGAAACACTAGTGTACTATTGCCAAATTGGTAAAGTGTAATTTACTGCAAATACTTAATTAAAAAATGTTAGTAAATGTAAAGTAAGTCACTCTTATTTTTATTTTACTTTGAAAAGCTGTTTGTTTTAAAAAAAGAATTAGTTAATTTGAATTGGAGTTTTGAGTACGAGCAGCACAATGAGTAACTTTTAATAATTTGATAGCATTGTATTTATATTTAATATTAGTTTGATTTGAAATGTTGATACTTTTGCAAAGTTTGTTAGTTTAGGGCAGTGTTTCTAAAAATGTGGTACGTGTACCCCCAGGGCCAAGGAAACAGTTTAGCAGGGGTACGCGTTCTTATGCGAAATATCTTGCAACAAACGAAAATTTCAAAAAATTTTCTTAAAAACAAAGCTAGCCATGAAAATTTAAGATTACGTATTTTTCTATATTTTTTGCAGACTTAACAGTTATTAATTAGTGGTGGTAACATCCAGTGTGATTTTTAACTTTCGTGCAATTTTTTAATAGTAAAAAATACATTCATTTTTTTTTATTAGTGGTACACAGCGTTACGAAAAATTTAGACATTGTGCACAAAAAACTTAAGTTTGGGAAACATTGGTATAGGAAATAGAAAAATAATGAAGTTAATTTTAATAGTTATACTGAATAGCAGTCAGGGCAATAATAGGCGTAACTTTTAATGATTAAAAGCCAATGTTTTATTTTTTGCACTTATTATTTCTATTTTAAGTTTTGTTAGGTTTAAAAAATGTATTCGTGAATTAAATCTAAAAAAAGGAAAAGTAAGCTAACAGTATTTTTTATATTTTCTCGTAAACTTTACTACGTAAGCGGTATAGCTTTTCGTAAACTTTGCTACTTAAACAGTATAGCTTCTAGTAAACTTAACTTCGTAAGCGGTATAACTTCTCGTAAACTTCACTTACTTTTTATTTGATTAAAGTTTTGGAAAACTAGGGTTACAAAACCTTAATCAAATAAAAAAAATTTAAAAGTTAGTTGACAGTAAATTTTTTGTAGTCATGTAAGCTTTATATTGAAATTAGGATTTCAAAACCTTACTGTAATAAATCTAAAATTCGAAATTAAACTTATAATAATTTTTGCTCATGCATTTAATAATTTAAAATATGGGGTTGTTAATAAATCTTGTGCAGTTCAAAGTTAAATCTCCTTCTCCAGTTATTGTTTTCATTTGCACCACCTAGTATACTCCCAGGGCTAAAGAGAATAGAAGGGCTGGTTCACTCCTTTGAAGTATCTCTTGCCGCGGTCTGAAATAGAACACGTAGAGCACCTCCATNTTTCTAATTTTTATAATAATAATCGTTTTTATTAGAATAATAATCGTTATACAATAATAACGATTTTATTTATAATAATATCGTTTTTATTTATAATAATATCGTTTTTATTTATAATAATAATCGTTTTTATTAGAATAATAATCGTTATACAATAATAACGATTTTATTTATAATGATATCGTTTTTATTTATAATAATATCGTTTTTATTTATAATAATAATCGTTTTCATTTCTAATTTTTATAATAATAATCGGCAATAAATATCGTTTTTGAATAAGCTACATTTTTTGTAATTTTATTCAAAAATAAGTAAGTTTTATTAATCAGTTAGATAGTTCACTCTTGTCGGTCAGAACTGTATTCTTTATTTCAAAATGATTTAAAAAACACTATTTATAAGTAGATTTTAATGGTTTAAAGAAGTTTAGTTAATTGTGCAAAAATGGTTACAGAAGCTTATTTTAAAGTTAAAACACGCAAAACAAATTTTCTTTGAATATTCCCAAATTATTTTTCTAGTCAAAAGCAGGAAGTAAATTTTAAACAGTCACATTTCTCTCTGGTTTAATACATTCAAAATTCCATCAAAATTAGGTGTTTTCACTGAATTTAAGATAGAATTCTTGTTCATTTTTTTTTTGCATTTCCTTCATTGTTTGTCTTTTTTTAAATGTTGTAGGAAAAAAATTAATTAATTTGCCTGAATATAAATGAACACAATTACAAGGGGGAATAATTGACTTTCAATTTTTTTCTGATGTAATTCAGAATATTCGAGACAATTAACTCGAAATAAGAAAAAACACATATCTCGTATTAAAGTCATTATCAATTTACCGCCGATATAAACTTTAACGTTTGTTTCGTTCTCTCTACTTTTATTAATAAAAAAAATATATATTGGACATCCATTTAATAAAAATGAATGTTTCTTTTTATCTTTTAGGTTAAGAGCGATCGTAGCTTCAGCTCTAAGAGCGGAGTGAACTAGCCCTTGTATTCTCTTTAGCCCTGGTATACTCCGCAAAATCTTTTTCTTAAACATTGCGATACAATTTTCCTCCAGTTTTGTCATTCTACAATTTTCAGAAGCATATCGCTGGTTCAAAACTAATCTGCAAGCATAATACGCTTTCAGATGTGTCGTTTTAGTTTTGAACCAGCGATATGTCAAGACCGGCCTGACTATAGTTTTGTAAATTAAGAACTTTGCTTTTCTAGAAAGAATAGTAAATCTTAATAAATCTTTAATAAATCTTCTCAATCTCATCAGGATGGCCCACGTGATTCGACTGAGTGATAAAAAAGACATTGCTTTTTAGACCCACTGGAACAAGAAAGCGGTTGAGATGGGCTGACTCTGTGGAGTCTGATCTTCTTGTAATTAATGAAAAGAATTGGAGATCAAAGATAAGTCGGAAGTTGTTATGGAAAAATCTTCAGAGGAGGGCATTGGCCCACATTGGACTGTCAGGCCAACTATAATGATGATTAATTCTTGCTCATATTCTCAAACTTCATGTTCGAAGTATGATTTCACAATCCTTATGCAATGAATATATTAATATAGAAGGTAACTAATAGTAATTTTTTTTGAATTCTCCGAAACTTTATATTAAAATTAAGGTTACAAAACCATAATAACCCTACCCCGGAAACAAATTTAGAAATTATTAATTGTAAGATTTTGTCATTTTTGTAAATTTTCTATTTAAACTAGGATTTTCACAACCTTAATATAATAAATTTTAAAAAATTAACTAATAGTAAATTTCTGCCATTTTTCTAAATTTTATATTTAAACTAAGAATTCCACAACCATAATCAAA